GATATTCCTTGCTGCTAAACTGGGAATTCTTTGCATATTTTCCCCTAGAAAAATTTCATTCCTAATTTGAAATCTAAAATTTAATTCACTTGTTCAGTCACTTGGATCTTGTGAACACGAAAGTATTATTCTGTCAGATCTTTCCATTAATATTTTTATAACCAGCATGAGTAATGGTGAATTGGTGTCCTATATGGTGCCAAGGATGAGCTGATAGGATCAATTGGTAGTTTATATTAAAAGCAGTAGTGAAAGTGTGATAATACTGCATGCACAACTACTCCAGAAGCAGACGTTCTGAGAAATAGTGACTATCCTAGCTTTAACTTAAGTATTTCTTGTGTAAATTAGATGTTCAATTAGAATGGTAACATAGCTAATAAGAAATTACTGTTTTTTATGAGGGGGGATAATCATATTCTGTCTGCATTATTGCAGGTTTTGGTTGGAGAATCTATTGTTAAACAAAATGACCCTGGGAAGGGCATAAGTGGACTTTTTGGTAAAGATATTTCTTTATAAGGTCTTCCATACAACCCGACAACCATCCCCCATCCCCATGGTTGTAATGTAAGATGCGTAAGATGGAATGAGATCAAGTTTAACGAATAAAGCATGTTCTGTTACTACCTTGTTTCTCATTTGCTGTTGTATTTGGTCTTGCTAAAAGGCTTGATGCAGAATAATGTAGACTTTATTTCTTCAGAAAGCAGTACCTGATCTCTTTTTATTTATTTATTTATATATTATAAAGGGCTAGTTGCTTGACATGTTAGAGGTTTAAACTTTTGAGGCTTTGATTTTGATTTTGATTCAAGGTTTTTAAATTAGTAGTATCAACTTGGAGGTGTTTCATTTTTTAAGTTGGATGTTTACATTAGAGATTAAGTTAAACACATTATATAATCCTACTCTTTTCCTTTTTCTTTTTCTTTTTCTTTTTCATTTTTCATTTAAATGGTTAGAGCATACTTGAGAGTCAGCTTGCATGTATTCAAGACTAATTCCTCCTGGGTGTTATTAAGGATGCATCTTAATCTAAGCTACATTTTTTTCAGACCACTTCAGGCCTAAACCTTTTAAGGTCATTGCATTCGCATCATCAAGAGACCCAAGAAGGTAAAGCAAACCAAAGGCCATTGAGCCTCGACCATCAAGCCAAATGGACTGTAATCAAATTAAGCAAATGCAATGCTCTCTTTTCTCAAAAAAAGAAAAAATAAAAAAAATCAAGATCAACCAAACTGAGCGGAAGAAAGAGGCATCACAAAAAAAAAAAGAAAAGCAAAAAAGAATACATATTTCAAATTTTGTGATAATTCAAAGCAGCAGGCAGATTCAAGCATTCACAGAGATTTCAACAGAGTTTTTCATGGCAGACAGAAATTTACCTTGTGAAATACCAATTTTTTCGCTTCAAAACTCCAATCCATTTCCAAATTCATAAATTAACAAAGAGATTTCAAATACCTTATTTTTAAAGCGAACAGCCTTTTGTTTGAATAAATATACGAACTTTGTTATTTAAGGATATGAATTTTGTTAATTTTCAAATAAAACAATAAATTTTGTATTTTTCTATTTAAGGATCACCATATAATTAATCCTTAGATAAAAAAAAATAAAGTTGATATTTAAAAAAAAAAAATTTTACTGTTTTATTTAAAAACCAATAAAATTTGTATCTTTAAATAATAATAATAATAATAAAAAAGATTCATATCTTTAACTGCACATTTTTCTCATTTTTTTCACTTTACATGGATTAGATAAAAAAAACTTTTTGGTTAGAAAATGGGACATGGGGTCTTTGAAAATTGAAATCTCTTTGTTAATTTATGAATTTGGTGATGGATTTCGCTTCGGTGGAAGGCATTGAAAAGCTACGCCACGCATGGGATACAACCACACAGTAGATCTCCTTTATTTCTCCAAATATCCCAAAGGGCATGTTTGGTAGGATAAGATAGGAGAAGATAATAGATGTCCTGCTCCTATCTCATGTTGGCATTTCTTTGGACGGGATACATAATTTATCTCATACTTTTTTCTTTCTTTTTTTTTTTTTTTTTCAAATTAAGAACTTAAAAACAATATTTATATTTATTTATAATTTCCTAAAAAAGAAATAAAAAAAAAGTTTTTTTGATTAGATGATTATTTAAAATAAATAGATAATGATAGAGTTATAGTAAAAAAAACATTTGTGAATATGAACAAAAATGTGCAAAGTTCAAGACATTTGAAAGTTTTTAAAGTTACTAGAATTTGTGAACATTGAAAAATATTTGAAAATTTATCACCAGAATTCGTCTACCTGGGAAGTTGATTTTAAGCACAGAGGAGCAGAGCAATCTCCTTCCCTTTCCTCTCATTAACTTGACAAACTCAAAATGAACAGAGGTTGCGTTATATATTAGCCACCATCACAATTGAGGAGTATACCTACTCCAACTTAAGATATTTCCTTTGATAACTTGGCCACAAAACAGGGCGCCATGTATTCAGGATTTTATATTGTTAGAGATCTCGTCCAAATGAGAACAACCATAACATTACACAGCAAAATAACATTGAAATAGAAGAAAAATCTAATGTAATCTTCCATGCTTCAACAGAACATGGCGAGTGGTAGAGAACAACTCATGGCATTTAGTTGTAAAGTACGTACTTTCTTGACTTCTGGACACTCTAGACCTAGCCTTCTGCCCTTCCTCAAATGAGTCTCACCTCCTCCATCTGCGCAAGTAGTTCTGCTTCCAACAACCTTTCCCAGGAAATAAGCTCAAAGTGCTAACTGTGTCCCATAGGCTGAAAAAGATGAAGGCATTCCTCCGACTCTTTGAACATTGAATGGGTGTGATCACTTCCGTGCATAATGCTCCCCTATTTAAAGCTTCATGGCAGAAAGGAACTGTTGAAGAATTTTCAAAATATTTTCAGGATTTGGGTTCAAATCATAAAAAGTTGGTTCGAAACAATTGCACAGAATGCATTTGAGAAAGTGTAACTTTGGTTCGAATCATAATTATATGATTCGAATCATTTACGTAAAACCAGAATCCGAAAATTTACGATTTTGATTCGAACCATTTATGCCAGAATAAGAGATAAAATTCAGATAAGTTTATAAAAAGAGTGGATAACTTTGAAAGGCAAGGAAACACGTGAGTTGGAATTCAAATAAAACCAAATGACTTTTGGAAGAGTTTCCAACGGATAAAAATTGAAAACTTGAAAAGAAGTGTCTATTCCAACATACATCTTGCCCTATAAATATGGAGTTATCTATTCTTCTCTGGTAGAGTCTTTTGAACCCAGAAATATCTAAATAAAATAGCCCCTTTTGGTATTGCAATTGCTCGAGAAATCCCTATACAAAAACTATTGTTTTGTTGCTTTCCAAAGGATGGTTCGGTGGTTGATCTTGCTAGTGCAAAGGTTAGATCAACAAGGCGCTTCATTGTATCCTATGGGCATTTCGGGTTACCGCTTTTGCATATCAGATCTGGTGGGGGCGAAATTAGCCTAAAGGAAAGTGGCATTTACAGCACGCCTTGAAGCCAATGATCTAATGATTTATTTTCTAACCCCCTATTTCTCCAACAATCTTTAGGCTAATTATTCCAGTTTTTTGAGATCATGGCTTACTGGATAATTGAGAAGAAACTTGTATTACAAAATGCATGTGAAGCCAGGGAGTTTTGGTGTGTGATAGTGACAAAAGGAAAATGGATTTTTGGTGTGATTAACCCATCTACAAAAGTGGTGGTTTATTAAATTGATTATAGCAATCATGTGACAAAGCAATCGTGTAATCAAATTGTCAATGAGTGACGATGGATGAATCAACCATAGGATGCAAATAAAGTTTTTGAATTATAAGGTGATGATGATGCATGATATCAACGCAAAAGGGAAACAAAGTGCAAACAGATTGTAACTCAGTATAGGAGGAATAGGTACGTAGAATAAGTTTATGCTCTTGATTGCCATGAATTTTTCATATGATTTTGTTTTGCAAACAAATTTTGAGTGGGTTTATAAAGGAAAAAAACAATGCTCATGATCTAAATACATGAGTTAGTTTTAGAAATTAATTCTTCAAGTTTGAGTGATGGTTTCATATCATTATCTATCAAATCTCTTTGAATGAAACATTGCATTTAGTGATATTGTTTCACAGGCTGTTCATCCATGCTTATCTCTTGTATCTATTTAATTAAATATGAGGAGAAAACATCTCCTGGAGAATGGCTTCAAAGAAGTTATCAAAGATGCAAATGACTGTGCAAAGATTCATAATTAAATGTCATTTGGCACAATGAAGCAAGAGAAATAAAATGGGTCTTTAAATCCCATTTGGAGGTTAAATAAATCTCATACTTGATAGCATGGTTCTTGGCTGTGAGATGGAAGATATTTATGGATTTGAATATGATCATGTTTTAAGATCATGAATGTGCCTTGATTTTGAGATTACTAATGTGATAAAAATAAAGTTCTGTTTTTCTTTTCATTTAGTAATGATTATTTACTATTCTTTGGTGAATACTTATGAAGCTTTATGGAGTTTAAGTAGTATATCTTACTTCTAGACCTAATCTTATTAAGGTTTGCTTAAGGCTTATTAAAGTCTATGAGATTTCCTTTACTTGGATTATGTTATAAGCATGTTTATGTATATGACAGTTTAGTTAAAATCATTGAGTTTTGTACATGTGTTAAACATGATTACTGTTTTTAATATGAGACTTGTGGAAATATAAGAAGCTAATGAATCTGGTCATGTTTCATTAATGAAAGGTTGCTTAAAGCATATTTCTACTTGTTACTTTTGATGCCTTTTATTTATGCTTGTAAGATTATATACCAGCATATCAATATTAAAACAAGTGAGAATCAAGTCTCATGATGGTTCTTTAGCCATGTTAAAGAAAGAAATACTAAAATGGGATTTGGCAAACCCATTTGGAGATCCAATTGATGGTCTTAGTATAAACTAAGAGAAAAGAGGCCAAGTAAAAAGGCTCTCAGTTTTGATAAGTCATGAAGGATTTTGAATCCTTGTTTAAATGCTATCTCTTAATGAGATCATTTGTAGAAACTAGTGCAACCTTGTGCACTTGACTAATTTTTGGAAGCCTGGAAAGATAGTCCAAAAGATAAAGAAATATGGATTTAAAGAATCCTATAAACAGCAAGAGTGAATAGCTTTTGGTCATGGAAAATGAATCTAATGATTTGAGTTGTTCCAGAATTTTTGGTTCAAATCACTCAAAGATGATTCGAACCAATTCCGTAGGAAACTCAAAAAGTATCAAGAAGATTTGAAACATTTTTTACTGTCTTAATGTGCCTCTCATGAAGAATGTTAATGTCATAAAATTGACAAACAATATTTAAAATGGTGGGAACAATCCCAGGAGTGAGAGGAATAAGGACTAAAAAGTCCTTGACACATGAAAAGCAAATAAGATTTAATTTGAAGTGGAGGAAGCAAGAATTCCACTCGTTCATGATATTACAAGATTATATGGCACTGTTTAGAAGTGACAACACTTGTTCCTGAGAAAAAGTGATAGCACTTGTTCTTGGAGATGTCTACACTTTTCAAGAGTTCATATTATTTTAAGACATTCTTATATGAATGTGTATGATGACTAAAAATAATAGGATGTCATCAAGTGCTTATAAAGACATTCTTAAATGAGGTGATCACCATAATCTTTGCAAGGTCTTGTGTGAATTAACTTCATGAATCCTTGGTTAAAAGGATTATCAAAAAGAAAATTCACAAGACAAAGAGAGGGATGGGTCTCAAGTCCATTGAAAAAGTCACACATGATGGAACCTCGACTTAATGCTTGATAAAAACTTCAAGTCTTAAGCTCAATGAGTAAAGTACATCATATGAATGTGACTGCAAGTACTCAGTTTATCAATAATACCATCCCAAGTGGAAGAGTACTTGATAACCACATGAAACAAAAAGGAGGATGAGTTTTACTCTTAATAAGTCCAATAACAGATTTCTATTGAAGTGCTTAATGTGGTGGCACTTTTGATGGGATCTACCTATATGAGTGGAAGTGGTGCCGCTTCTAGGAGTTGGGGACTTGACTCTAACAGCACTCATGAAAAGGATATAGGACACATGGCCAGTTTTTGTGTCGGTGGATGCTGAATTCCTTTTTTTAGAAAGCTTGAAGTCTTGTGTGTGACATGTGCCCAATTAATCACTTAGAATCGCTAGTTCAAAGCATTAGTCTACCATGTAATTCTGATTAATTTGCCAACACATGTTCACTAAGTGAAAGGTTCAAATCATAAGATGCCTTCATGTATGCATAAGATTTCCAAAACAATTGGTGGGCTATTCTATTTTGAAAATGGTGGGGGAATGTTGAAGAATTTTCAAAATATTTCCAGGATTTGGGTTCGAATCATACAAAGTTGGTTCGAAGCAATTGCACAGAATGCATTTGAGAAAGTGTAACTTTAGTTCGAATCATAATTATATGATTCGAATCATTTACGTAAAACTAGAATCCGAAAATTTACGATTTTGATTCGAATCACATTTATCTGATTTGAACCATTTACGCCAGAATAAGAGATAAAATTCAGATAAGTTTCTGAAAAGAGTAGATAACTTTGAAAGGCAAGGAAATACGTGAGTTGGAATTCAAATCAAACCAAATGACTTTTGGAAGAGTTTCCAACGGATAAAAATTGAAAACTTGAAAAGAAGTGTCTATTCCAACATACATCTTGTCCTATAAATATGGAGTTATCTCTTCTTCTCTGGTAGAGTCTTTTGAACCCAGAAATATCTAAATAAAATAGCCCCTTTTTGTATTGCGATTGCTCGAGAAATCCCTGTACAAGAACTATTGTTTTGTCGCTTTCCAAAGGATGGTTCGGTGGTTGATCTTGCTAGTGCAAAGGCTAGATCAACAAGGCGCTTCATTGTATCCTATGGGCATTTCGGGTTACCGCTTTTGCATATCAGATCTGGTGGGGGCGAAATTAGCCTAAAGGAAAGTGGCATTTGCAGCACGCCTTGAAGCCAATGATCTAATGATTTATTTCTAACCCCCTATTTCTCCAACAAGAACCAAAAGGCTTTCATAGATACACACCTTTCAAGTTGACCTGATTCCATATCACTATTGCTTGAAGAAACTCTCTTTCTCCAAAAACTAATGAATTAGGATATTGTGGAGAAAGAGCCATGAAAAATTTGCTCTCTACTGGCTATGCACACTGCCTGTTGATAAGCAACAAGAAGAGGATATGATTAAAATCATGTCACCTATTAGAAAATCAATTGATCCTTCTTAATTTTAAACCTTGAGGCTACATTACGATTTTTCTTGTCCGATCCACTGCAAAAAAAAAAAAAACAACAATGCACAAGACGGTTGGTAGGGAATACCTAAGCTACTTCTGCAAAGGCACTTCGGGTACCAAAAGCACCATGTTACACCAACCTCCAAATAGATGGTTTAATTCAATTTCTTCACTTTGATGGGTAATTTTATCAACAACTAATCTCTGTATAAATTCTGCATAAATTCCAAGGACAGGATTAGGAAAGCAAATATGATGCATGGGACAATCCTATTTGAGAAAAGAATTTTTCTCAAGTAAAACATGATAGAACAACCAAGTACCTATTCGGATTTTGTTTAAGTAGTGCTCCAATTGCTTCTCATCATCCGCATGGTTTGCTAACATAGTACCAAGAAAACAAAGTCACAGGCACCAGCCAGCCCACAGATGCATGAATGTAGCATGTCTACAAGTAAATATTAGACTCTAGCAAGAAAAAAATGGGGAGAGACTGTTGAAAGATGTTTGCCAGCATATTCATTAAGAAGAAGATAAATTTCACAAAAACATTGTACGTAAAATATTATCTTTTTCTATATAAAATTTTAAGCAGCAAGAAAGCGCTTGGAGTTTTAGATCTTGAATAAATGTGCTTATGACTTTTAGATCTAATACATTGATCAGCATATAATGAATTTCTCTTGCTCAATTGGTTTCTAAGGGAAAATCACAAAAAAAAAAAAAAAAAAAAAAACTTTTAGTCTAGAAAATTATCTCTAGGCATCTTGTCCATAATATGTCTTAAGTCAATTTTCATCAAGAAATAGACGCACATGGTAAAAACAATAATTGAATTCCATGAATTCCCAAAGAAAATAAATAAAACCAAACATCATGCCTCCATGGAATAAATCTGATAATTTCAATTAGAAAAAGAAACCAAAGTTTCATCATTCCAATAAAGGAACATCAATATGGGTCCATGGAGTTAGAAAGAGAGAAGAATTACCTAGAATTTCTAAATGCAGAGGTACATGCTTCAACAATCTCATTGTTGGTGATTTGGTAAGCTTTGAAGACCAAAGAAGCTACCACATAAGGCCAACGTAGAGAATAATAATATAAGCAAAATTGACATGCTTACCATCCAATCCCCACGGCTCTCTGGCTCCTAGGATTTGAGACAAAGTCAGACATAACCAAATATTTTGAAGAAATTAGGATGCAGCCGAATATTCATTCAAAAAGGGAAAGGAAACATCAGTCATTTTGACATACCGAAAACATGGGGCAAGAAAAGAAAAGCTAAACAAATATTTTAGTGAGATCAGGGACTTAAACTACTACGTGCTTAACACACTTCAAGGAAACATCTAAAATGAAGATAATAAATTTCAGGAACACAATAGTGTATTTGTGTCCATTAAAAAGTAATGTAAATGTATGAGAAGGATATAGAAAACAATATTGCATGGAAAAAGTAAAGAGATACTTAAGTCCGCTAGTCGATTTGATTCTTCTGGTATGTCCTAGCTTATCATCTTCAGTGATTTTTTCATGATAGATAACAGGAATGAAGCCAAAAGAATTTGATATTTGAAAACACAACAAATGGAGAAAGCAAAATTACCAAGTCTCAAAGTTCAAAACTTTGAAGTGTACATGCAATTTCCTCAGTCTGTTTCATCGCTCAAGAAATGTGTCACGATTTGCAGCCTTCATCTAAAAAAGGACAAAGAAGAGCAAATATCTGCATCAAATATAAGGCGGTGATTATGGATGGAATGGTCAAAAGAATATTTTGTATTGATTAGCATTGATTGGCATTGTACAATTTCTGTATTTCCTTTTATTTCCTTTTCTGGTAGCAGACCCCAGTTGTATATAGGTGTAATGCTGCTTATAATGAAATATTGATTCCAGATTCATATATGGCTGTTACTGCCCTAGTTTATTATGGTATCAAAGCAGTAGGTGCTTGACGGCAAGATCTTGCCGCAACAGTAGATCGTGACAGCAAGTTCTTTGATGCAGACAACCAATTTCTCATGGCTTCTGAAGACACAACCACAAAGGCCAATCCCAAGACGACAGGGGGAGTGAGGGAAGCTTTGAAATCAGGCGACCCAGACTCTCCATATTACTTGCACCCAAGTGATGATCCTAGAAGGATTTTGGTAACATCCCCTTTGACAGGGGAGAATTATCACACATGGAAGAGAGCACTACAAAATGCTCTTTATGCAAAGAACAAGATGGGCTTTGTTGATGGGACATTGAGAAGACCAGAAATAGACTCACCAAATTATGCATCATGGAAGAAGTGTAACTCAATGGTACTGTCTTGGATTCTAAACACAATTTCAAAAGAACTGCATGATAGTGTTGCTTATGCTGACAGTGTAAGAGAGGTTTGGAATGATCTGCAAGAGAGATTTTCTAAAGGAAACACCACAAGAGTGTATGAATTAAAGCTTGAACTAGCCACCATGGTTCAACAAGACAGATCAGTTGCTGCATACTTCACCAAATTGAAACCAATTTGGGACGAATTACATGCATATGAACCTACTCCAGTATGTGTATGTGGGTGTACCTGTGGGGCAGCGAAGGAGTACACAAAGGCATGTGAGACAGAGAAGGTTCATCAGTTTTTAATGGGTTTGAATGATAACTTTTCGACTATACGCTCACAAATCCTAAATTTGGAACCATTACCTTCTTTAAACAAGGTATATGCAATGGCAACCAAGGAGGAAAGGCAACAAGCTATAACAGCTTCAAGAGGACCAGTAATTGAAGCCACTGCCTTAGTAGCAAGGTCGAGTATGAGTGGAAGATTAAACAATCCCGGAAAGGCACGATGTGATCATTGCAAGAAAGTTGGCCATACCAAAGACCGATGCTATGAGATTATTGGGTACCCCTCAAGTTGGAAGATTGGAGGCACAAAGACAAAAGGCAAGGGTGATGGACAGAGAAGTCAAAGTCATGGAAGGGAATTAATCTTTGCAGCTAAAGCAAACCATGATCCAACAAGAACAGATGGCAATCAAAATCAGTCTCCTCTTACCAGACTGACCAAGGAATAGTATGATCAATTACTCACACTTCTCGGTGGTAATTCCATCACTAATCATTCGAAAAACATGGCTGGTAAGATGCAAATCTCATCTTTTCCTTGGATTATTGATAGTGGCGCCTCAGACCACATGACCCCAAATCTTTCCAGGCTTATTGAAACCATACCTTATGTTGCACTAGTCCACATACCTGATGGAACCTCCTTACATGTCTCTCATATAGGAAAAGCAAAACTAGCCCAAGACCTCACCTTAGACAATGTTTTATGTGTTCCCCAATTTAACTGTAATCTCTTTTCAGTTAGCAAAATAACTAAACAACTCAATTGTGCAGTCATATTTTTCCCTAACTTCTGTGTATTTCAGGACCTAACCTCGAGGAAGTTGATTGGAATGGGTAAACTGCATGAGGGAATCTACTATTGTGAATTTGGGCATGTTGCAGCTGCTAGTCGAGTAAAGCCGAAGGAGA